AACGTTTGTGGAGCTCCTGATGCCCTACAGCTCATGTCATATAGCAGCCTCCACTTACTTTATTTCTCATAATAAATTATCAGTATCATAAAACAAGTTGCTCTGAGCTTGGTGTCATGTTTTCCTAAATTGCTCTTCATTTTATCTCTAACAGCTGGCTGGGGTACTCTGCACCTTTTGGGAACTGTAGGTGATAACAGCTGATGTATTGAGCCTGGGTTGATGTGTACAAGCAGCTCTTAACTTCTGTGAGAGTATGTGTGAGCACAGTCAAGGAAGCACTTTGGGGCGAGTCCATTGAAAGCCTATCAGACTGAAAACATACCAAGGAGATTGCCGGGTCTGTCCTTCAGACTCTGGCTGGTGGATGAAATGAGTACTCAGACAGAGGTATGCAGTATAAGAGCAGCTAGGTGGCTGCCTGGCTCTAGTGGCCAGAGAGCAGCCCCAAGAAGCTGGAGCTGCTTGCTTTTATTCAGTGCAGGCACAATGCCGAAACCTGGAGCCAACACAACCTGTAGGTAATTAACATTTATTGTTCCCCTTTCAGGGAAGTCGTGGGCAGATGATCAAAGGTCAGTTCCTGGTCAACATAAGTAAACAAACCTGTTTAAGTTAAATTCCCCCACACTCCCTTGTACCTACTCCTTGCCCTCTACTCAGGGTTATAGGACAGCTGCCTTCAGCTATTCTCCCCCAGGGCTCTGTAGAATCTTCTGACCTTTCAGAAGGTTTGTGTCCTTTCCCTATAGTTTTTCCCACCACTCTGACAGATCCTCTACAGGAAATCTTAAAAACGAGGAGATAATTAGTGATTTGAACTAGAGCAAATTTATATTGTTTCTTATCTAAAAAGCCCGAACTAGACTTTAAAGTGTTTTCAGTATAACAGATATTTATGCTAGCCTTGTCCTAATGACTTGCCCAAATTCCCTCCCCAACCCAATCCTCTTCCTTCTGCTGAAACAAATCCTACTTCTCTTCTTAGACCCAGGTCTAACACTGCCTCCTGTAAAGCTCTCCCTGAAGGCTCCAGCTGTCACCTGCATTAGAATGACAAGACCTTTCATGGCCATAATTCCCAGTGTGGTTTTGTGTCTTTCCACTTGTGTGGTTAATCATTGTTTGTGTTTATCATATATACATAGATATATTTTGTGTTGCTTTTCCCACTGTCTCTTCATTCCTTCCCTCTACCACTTTCCATGCATACCACTATCCCATCTACCTGTGGTTAGCATAGGGTTAGGGATCAAATAGATATTAAACAAATGATTCTTATTAATGCATATGTAACAAGAGTCCTATACATCAGTTAATGACTTCTCCTGTGTGACTTTCTTTTGACCTCTGTCTCCAGTGACATTTCAATACCTGAACACCTCTCTGTGAGGAATAGGCTTGTATTATAAATGAATGCAGACCATGCTGGGTGTAACAGGATGGCAAGCATATTCCATATAAAGGGGGCAATTGCTGCTCCAATTTATTGTGGTGTGAGACATGCAGACTCAACCCTATCAGATCTGACTTGTCTTGAAAAATCAGAATCCAAACTTCTTAAAATGTTGGCCACTAACTTTAAAATTTGAACATTGATAGCATAGTTTGAGTAGATAGGATAGAGAGCTCAAGAATACACTCATATGTATGGAAACATGATAGGTAATACTAATGGTGCCACAGTGGAAAAAGGTAGGTAGGGGGCGTTGGTCAGTTCGAGCTGCTGTAGTAGAATGCCATAGACTGGGTGGTTTATAAACCACAGAAATGTATTTCTCACAGTTCTAGAGGCTGGAAGTCTGAGACCAGGGTGCCAGCATGGCCTGGTTCTGGTGAGGGTATACTTGCAGATTGCAGGCTGCCAGCTTCTGTGTCCTCACTTGGTGGAAAGACAGAAAGTTCCCTGGGATCCCTTTTATAAGGGCAGCAGTCCCATTCACAATGGCTCCACCCTCATGATCTAATCACCCCCCAAAGGCTTTACCTCCTAATTGTATCATATCCGGGGTTAGGATTTCTACATAGCAGTTTTCGGGGAACATAAACATTCAGTCCATTGCATAAGGAAAAGATGGTTTCGGGAAAACTGTTTCAGAATCTTGAGGAGAAAAAGGTGAACCTTACCGAATACCGGATATAAAAGTAAACTCCAGATACTCAGGTATGAAAGGTAAAACTATAAAAAAGGCTAAGTTTGTAATCAAGAGGGAAGGATGTTTTAAGCAAGACCCCCAGATCAGACTATAAGTCAAAAAGCAACCGACCTGACTACCCTAAAATTAATTATTTCAAGTCAAGGAAAGACACCATGGGTAGTTATCAGTTGGATGACCAACTGGGAAAAGATAACTTGTAAAATGTAAGTAGATTAGAGGTTAATATCTAGCAAAACCAGTGAACTCTAATGAATCAACAAGAATGCTGGAAAATAGTAAAATGACTGAAAAAATGGGCAAAGACTATGAACAGGAAATTTCCTGAGGAAGAAGCCTCCATGGCTGGTAAGCTTTTCAAGAAGTACTTGACTTAGTAATTAAGGAAAGGCAAATCAAAACAATGAATTATAATGAACTGTAGCTATTAAATTTCCTAGCTTTCTAATTTCTGCCAACAACAATTATTGGCAAAAGTGTGGGAAAGTGGGAGTACGAGCACCGTGTGTAGTACTAGTGGGCATGTAAACCAGCACAGCCATTCTGGAGTAGTACTTGGAAGCATTTAATGAAATCAAATTTGCATTTATCCTTGCACAGTTTTACTCCTGGTTGTGTAGCCAGGGAAATTCTTGTGCAGTTCTCCATCTCTCCTGGTTTATGCCATGTATCCCAGTATAATTATCAGTGGCACCTCCACTCACTTTCAAAGTGTCCTGATTTGGACAATATATTGCTTGATGACCCTACTGCTTGATGGCATCATCACCATGCTGCTTTTTTTTTCTTTCCTCTTTTTCTTTATTTTTTTTTTTTTTGAGACCGAGTCTCGCTCTGTCACCCAGGCTGGAGTGCAGTGGCGAGATATTGGCTCATTGCAGCCTCTGCCTCCAAGGTTCAAGCGATTCTCCTGCCTCAGCCTCCCAAGCAGCTGGGATTATAGGCACCCACCACCACACCCAGCTAAAATTTTTTTTTTTTTTTTGTATTTTTAGCAGAGACGACATTTCACCATGTTGGCCAGGCTGGTCTCAACTCCTAACCTCAGGTGATCCGCCTGCCTCGCCCTCCCAAAGTGCTGAGATTACAGGTGTGAGCCACTGCTCCCAGTGCTGTGCTGTTTATAGGAGGAGAGCTTCGGAAGCAAGTCAGTTGCCCGGTGGTGCTAAGGGAGCAGATAGAGTAAAATGGTACATTTAATATATGAAACACCATGTAGCAGTGAGAAGCAATGGACTGGGTATACCGAGAATGCAGGAAGACATAGATTGCCAAACAGAAGACATCTGCAGCTTGAACTACTATATAAAGGTTCACCTTGGATTTCTTTTTCTTTCTTTCTTTTTTTAACAGCAGCTAATAGGCCATTGCTGGGATGCATTATAACTTCCATTTCCACTCAGACCTGAGAAACCACTCTATTTCTCGTCCTGCGTGGGATTTCTGCAGATATCAAGAGATCTGGTCTTCTAACCCTAGCTCTGGACCACCTTAGACCCCTAGAGAGAAATGGTCCCTGGTGTCCTACAGTTTCATGACGTGGAGAAGAGCCTCTTACATGACAAGAAAAGGGATGCCAATCACTTAAACTACCCGAAAGCATTAACAAAGTCAGACTTCATTTGAACTCTTGGAACTACTTCACGGCTCCTCTGCCTTGTCTTACCCATCCCAAGGAACCCTCAAAACATCACTAAGCTGTATGTCTTTGCTGGCCAAGGGCGCTAATGGAAAAAGGCTCCGTTTGAGAGTCTTTCTGGCCCCTAGATCAGTTGTGAGTTTATCTACTGTTACTTAAATACAGAAGAGGCAAATGGCTTTTCTAAATCAAAGTTCTCCGGAGGGAAACAGATGCAGGTGCTTTGACGGCTGCAGCTGTGCTGATTGTGGCACAGCCTCTCTCTCCCTGCACGTGTGTTGCTGCCTAGCAAGGTGATTGCCAGTGCCAATGTCACAGCAGAATCCTCCAGCAGAGTACCCCCAAATGCTGGCCCGAGATGATGCAGCCTTTCTGGAGTTAGCATCTTCATGATTAGCAGGTGGAACTTAGCGAAATAAACCCAGCACTGGCAGAAATAGCTGCTGGAATCATGCAAAAAGTACTCCCCCTTCTCCTCTTCCAGAGAAGTGGCCCCTTTTGGTTTGGAGCAGTGGACAGATCCTTCTTCATACACACCAGGGCTGGGTCGGCTAAGATGAAGCACACAGATCTCTGTATCACCGGAGCGCCCTACGGGATGTGTGGCATTTTCTCCTTTTCTCTTGGTCTCTGGATTTTACCGCAGGCAGTCGGGTCTCCCGCGCCTGGCACTTCCTTGACTGTGGGCAGGAAGAGGTTACAGCAGCCCTGGAGCCTGCTGGGCTGAGTTAGCACTTCCCTCCGCTTCCAGAATATCTCCCAGGAACGGCCCCCTTTGCATCACGGCACGGGGTGGCGGTGCAGGCTGGGGGCCACCGCAGCAGGTCTCAGTCTCTCCCTGCTGCCCCGCGAGGAGTGGGGAGCTGCAAGGCCGACGCGTCTGGACTGGAGGATGAGCGGGGACGCCTGCGGGTCTGGAGCTGCACCGCGCCCGCGCCTCCCGCGCTCTGCCTTTGGCAGCTGTCGGACGCTCTGCGCGCGCAGGACCTGGGACCGCGGCACTTGCGCGGGGACGCAGGAGCCCAGGGCCGGCGCTGCGGGCAGCGGGGAGGCGCCAGCACGGCCAGCTCCCCAGGGAGCCTGGAGCAGCATTGCGCCCTGCACGCCTCCCTGGACGGAGACGCCGCGGGGCCTGGACAGCGCTTTGCCGGCAGCTGGTGCTGGAACGCGGCCGGGGCTGAGCCGCTCCTGGGGACTCTTCCCCTTCCAGGTGACCCCAGGGGAGGCAGCCCGGGGGTCAAGTTCTAGCCACCCTTCCGGGCCAAAAAGCAACGACTCCTAGTTAGGGGGAAACTTAGCTTTTTGTTTTGCTTGGAACTGCTGCTGTGCAAGATTTGCCAAGCCTTATAGGGTTTCATTTTTTACTTGATTGGTGTTTGAGAAAAACTGCAAGGAAAGGGTGGCGAAAGGAAGAAACACTATAAACTTTGGGGTGGACATTTTCTTGGAAGTGACAGGTAGCCTCAGATCTGCAGTTCCTGGGCCAGCGACGGCATCCTTTGCTCTGACACTCCAAGGGTCTGGACGCTGCCACATGACCAACACCAAAGACTCCAGAAGAGCCATGGAATCCACGTTGGCGACATCCAGTTCTGCCACAGGCCCCGTCACCTTCTCCCACGTCTTTGGTCAGCAGTGCCAACTTATGCAAGCAGGTAGGAATTGTGTCGTGTGTGATGTGCCCAGAGAATGGGAAGTGGAATGTTATCCCGGGTCCCCAAAAACAGAGGTCTGTGTGTGTCTGTGTGTCTGTCTGCCTCGGCTCTTTCTCGATGTAATTTGGGATGTAAGACTTAACTAGCTAGTGACAGGTTTGCCTGGCATTTATCACTGTAAAAGATAAAGTTTTTAGGACTTGCCATGAGATAACGCACTGCTTTTGCAATGTGTGAGGGGCCTTGTTTGTCCTTCGTCATCGATTTTCTCTGTGGCTAGCTGAGGGGTGAAGGAGGGTGCGTCAGGATGGATCTGATGATGCCATGCTGTGGCCATCTTTTGAGGGCAGGTGCCAGTCCTAGCCTGGTTGCCTTTGTCAGCTTGCCTCTCTCTGCTCCTAAGAGTTATGTTTAATCTATGCCCCACCGGCCCCTGCTGGAGTAACTTCCATGCATGTAAGTGTCTGTTCTGAGCAGCCTCTCCCAGGCTTTGACTTGGTTGTGGGGATTCCTCATTAGTCTTTGCTCATGAATTTGTCTTCCAAATGGCTCGCGTTTTATATGGAAGGGAAAGATTAGCATGGGCTGCAGGCCTTATAACCCATGCTAGCTGTCTTGCTAGGATGCACATGTGGTCGCATAGAAAAAGAAAAGGTGAGGATGGATGGCTTGGTGCAAATAGTCACCGTACTCTAACTCACAAGTGGTACTTGAGACATGCTTATGATTGGGTTGGAGTCACATGCGATATAGGATGCCTGTTTCTCTGCTTTTTTGGAGTTAATTCCCACTGGGAAAACAACCACACGTTCCTCCAATGTTTTCCTGGGTGTTATAGGGTTAATTGTGCATTTCGGCTTGAGTCTCAGAAAGATGGTGAGAAGAGCACTGTATCAGGAGTCTGGGGGCCTGAGTCAGTGTTGATGCTTTCATTGGGTAGTTGCATGACCTTGGAAATTGCAGACCGCACCCCCCTTCCTGGGGTATCCATCCCCTGCTGCAAAACAAGAGAACTGGATTCAGGGCTGCTGGGTCCATCCAGGCCTGAGATTTTGTGAGCTCAGAGAAGCACATCTTGGATGTGTCTGCACAGAGAGGCAGCTCGTGGAGTGGGTGAGTGAGGGCTCTGGAGCTGACTGCCTGGGTTGGGGTCCCAGTTTCACTTATTAAAAACTGTGTGATCTCAGGCAAGTTACTTAGCCTCTCTGTGCCTCAGTTTCCTTTTTTGTGAAATGGAGATACTAGGCACTCCTTCATAAGGTCATTGCAAAGATTAATTAATATGTGAAAACATCCTTCTATGGGTCAGTCAAGTCTTCTCTGTTTGTGGGGAGGGGCACAGCTGCCTTTGGTCATAGACAATGGAAGCATTGAACGCACACCGTCCGCCATCCACTGCACTCCTAACTTGATTTTGGTTTGTCCAGAAGGTTGAAAATCTTCCACTCTCTACATCTGTGGAATATTTTATCTGGAATGCATTAGGTAGGAGGGCTCGGAAGCTTTCCTGGACTGAGGTTCCCTTGCCTTGCCTTTCTACTTCTCTGAGACTCCTGTGGGAAGGCACATCGGATTTCTAAAGTACCTCCCCTGCGGCTTCATTCACTTTCTTTTAGAAGCACCCAGGCCTAAATCAGGCCATGAAATCCTCTGCCTCTTCTTAAAAAAAACATCCTTTATGTCAAGAGAGCAATGCAACATGGAATAATAATGACCAGCAGTCTCCAGGGAGAACACTCTCCCTGAAGAAAGGCAAAGAAGAATCATTAACCTTAAGTCGAAAGAGCTCACTCAATTAGGACGCGAAAGGGATTGAGACCAGCACTGATACGTCTCCAGCCTGCCATTTACAGTCCAGTGAGTATCACAAATGAGATCTTAAATGTACGTGAAAATGATTCGCAGACTCTAGGGGTTTACAGCTGGGTTAATCACATATGTCCCAAGTGAGAGGTAGCTACAGATCCCATGTACTCGCTGAGTACCTACTACGCACAGTGCCGGGAACCACAGGATCTGGAGAGTAAGTTACGGCTCATACTCCTGGAGATGTTGGTCTCGCTGGTGTAAACATAAAGCATATTGAGGAAAAGAGAATTACACACAATGTGACTTTTCAATGATACCATTTTCTGAACAACCCTTCCTATATGTTTTACATAAACCAGCTCCTGTAATTTTTATAATTTTTTATTTTTTGAGATAAGGTCTTGCTTTATTGCCCAGGCTACAGTGCAGTGGCATGGTCATAGCTCACTGCAACCTCAGCCTCCTAGGCTCAAGTGGTCCTCCTGCCTCAGTCTCCTACTACTATGCTGGTCTAGAGCAGGGGTTAACAAAGGTTTTGTTTCTTTTGCAAAGAGCCAGATAATAAATCTTGTTGGCTTTATAGTCCACATGTTTTTGTTTATGGCTAGTTGGCTCTGCCATTGTAGCACAAAAGCAGCCACAGACAAAGTGTGTATGAATGGGCATGGCTGTGTGCCAACAAAACTTTATTTGCAAAAGCAAATGGTGGGCCAGGCTGTAGTGCAGTGGCATGATCATAGCTCACTGCAGCTTTGACCACCTAGGCTCAAGCGTTCCTCCCATCTCAGCCTCCCAAGTAGCTGGGACCACAGGCACGTACCACCATTCCCGGTTAATTTTTAATTTTTTTTTTTTGGAGAGATGAAGTCTCGTTATGTTGCCCAGGCTGGTCTTGAACTCCTGGGCTCAAGTGATCCTTCTGTCTCAGCCTCCCCAAATGCTGGGATTGTAGGAGTGAGCCACCATGCTAGGCTCCTGTAATTTTTTAAAACCCTAGCCAATTTCCATAGGCAAAGGAAATACACGGGGGTTGCCTGCATGCCCACATTCACACCCTTTGGGAAGGAAAGCCTTGGTCTGGTGCTCAGGCCTGTCCCTTTCACCTCTAAAGTGAATGGTCCCTAGTGGCAACTGGGGCAAATCTTTTATATCTGTAAGTATCTCATGTCTTAGGAGAAAAAGTTGATTTCCAGGAATGGAGCAGTAAGGATATTTAAAGAGGTGGGGATGGGAGGGGGTTGTGCACTAAATGGCGCCTAGGATTTAGTGGGGCAGCAGAGATAGGTGTCTGGGAGGCAGAGTGAAATTGGGCATGGGTGAGGCCAATGAAAACTTTGACCCATTTAGCAGTAGTGGGAGCGTGAAGGTCTGGTGGGGCCATGGGAAGAGCATGTGGTTCTTTCTCATTTAGTCCCAGTTTGGCTGTTGCTGGCTGTGTGAGCTTCACACCAAAGGCTGGCAAACTACAGCCCTGGGGCCAAATCTGGCCCACTACTTGCTTTTGTAAATAAAGTTTTATTGACACACAGCCATGCCCATTTATGTACATTTTGTCTGTGGCTGCTTTTGTGCTGCAGTGGCAGAGTCAAGTAGTCATGAGTGAAACCATGTGAGCCATAAAGCCAACAATATTTATTATCTGGGTCTTTGCAGAAAAAACAAAAACTTTGCTGACCCCTCCCCTAGACCAGCATAGGAAGCACAGAATGGGGTTAGACAGAATTTGTGTGGGACAGTGTGAAAGGGATCAAGCCTGAGAGTGTGGCTCTGAAAGATGCTTATTTGCCGGTACCCTTCATGCTACGTGGTGCTGTGGCTTTCTCATGTTCTTTTCCACCATCCACACACCACCTCATATGTGTATGTAGGGGGTTGCTTCAGGGAGCTTTTAGAATAGATCTGAAAGTCCTAGCAAGAAGAGAGTTCTCAGCATGTGCCCAAATCTATAGCACCTGAGCTGGACAAGATCACATCTGCCTCAGTGTGTTCTGACATTCCAGATAAAGATTTGCCATGGCGGACTGCTGGCAATTGGGCACAACCATAGGTGGCACTTATTGGGTAGTTATTCTGGGATGGTTATTGTGCCCCCCGAAGGGTGGATGGAGGATTTCCTGGTGAACAGGTGAGATTTCCATGTTGACAGAGTTGGGATTTAAATTTCAGGCAGCCCAACCCCAAAGCCTGTGCTCACAAAAGGCAATTCCACAGCTTCTGCAAAGGGTTTTAAACAATGTGTCTTGTCTCGCTCAAGGATTTAGAGGAGAGAGCAGCACTCTGGATCTTGGGGTGACTTTGATGCTGTTGCCCACCCTCCTCCCTCTCCAGGTCCTTCATCCCACTCTTAATAGTCCTATGAGGAAGTTCATCCTCTTCTATTTCTAACCCCCAACCCAAATTTCTTTCACTTGCCTTTGCCCCTGCTATAGCCCAAAATGGTAGGTAAGAAGTTGATCTGGTCAGGCAGGCATGACCGATGGAGGCTGCCATTGTCCATTCTTGCTGCCTGACCTCCTTCAGGTGGGAGCTTAAGGCCACACTCCCAGGTGGGGTATCTGCTGACATTGTGATATTCAGAATCATAGAGGGGTTTGGCTGTGTCCAACATCTGAGGATGTTGGGGGGACCTCCGAGGGGATAGGCAGTACAGACTCAAGCTGGTATGCTAGTGGCGTCAGTGCAGCTGGACAAGTCCCCTTGTCCATATTCTCCTGGGTTCCCAAAACATTTAACTGGACACCCCCTAACCCCTGACCTGGCATTTGGCTGCGTCTCTGCAGAGGGCTATTGCCCTATCCCCTGGCCTGGCAGTCTATTGGTTGGGTGACCCCCAGCTTGCAGACCATAGCTGGTGGGGACTTCATCTGTTGTGCCAAGTTCTGACTTGCTAAGTTGCCCTTGTGTCATGGAAGTTGATTTCCAACCCATTTCATGTGGGCAGAAAGCATTTCTGCAGTTACCTTGCTTCACCGGAACCAAAGTCATCTTGTCCAATATGTCCTGCTGACGCTGCCTGAATCCAGGCCCAGCTCAAGGAGGGTGGAAGGGAGATGAGAACAGGAAGGTGACAGGACTTCAGCACCTGGACTGCCGCTGCTTGGCACTGTTCCTGGGCTGCAGCTCAGGTGCCACCTGCAAGGCTCCTCATTTGCATGATTAGTGAGGGATTGGTCCCCTGCACCTCACCTTGC